TTATATAAACTAGAATATTGAAAAACACTGCTATTTTATTTTAATCATTTAGTCGAGCAAAAGGACAAAACATTTAACAATGTGAACAAGTTAACGTGGTGCTCGAACCCACATTTTTACTCAAACATGAAAACAAATTAATACATAAGGATCATACATGAATCTCACTCAAATCAAACACAATCATACAAGAATCATACACAATATTTTAACAATAGTAGCGTAACACTACCTATTAAAGATCAATACATCCACAGTAGTAATACACACTAGACATACACATTACAATTTTACACACTATACCCAGAATTAAACAGACAAACAAAACGACAAATCTATAGCCATATTTAAACATCTGCAGCAACAGAAACATTCACATTTACAGTTGATATACACCAGGGTACCTCAAACCAGACCATATTTACTCACTGAAATCAATTGCAAAAGTTGCGTAAAACTCTACAAAATTTATGAGGATTACAAGAGACGCAGACATCACTTTGCACAGTAGTAGACCAGTCGACGAGGTAACAAATACTCAATACTCATACAAGCATCTAGGTACATCCACAGACAAAACGTGGTAACACAGAACCACACTCTTTGTCGACACTCACTTCTACACATGTATCACCAAAACACCATACACAGGGTGCAAACAATTTGGAAACAAACAGCGTTAGAACTGGTCGTACAGGGTCAGAGGGTCAATAGGCAGGTACAAGGCACTTTAGGCTTCATGGCTACAGTACATAATGAAAAGTGAATTAAACACAGCCCTTAAGGAGGCTTCTCATCTGGAGAGCAGGAAAAAATAGAGGAGACTGAAAGCCAAGCTTCTTGTAGGCGCTCCATGGTGGTCAGCCCCCAGGTGGTAGCAGAGGTCAACGGTCAAGGTCAAGGGTCAAAATGCATCAAGGCATTGGGGCGGCCTTCTGGAGAGAGGCCTAGCCCATTCTAAACATCTTGTCGCCCGTCACAGAAAGCCCTAAAGAAAGAAATATCGGTGAAATTTATGCATTTTAATCGAACTTGACCTTGGCTGGCGAGGTAGGAGGACGCACCCGCAGGGCTGTTGGTAGCAGGAGAGCACATGGTGTGGGCGTGTCACAGCGTCGAGGCAGGTGGATCTTCCGTCGACCTTTCTCCATCAAACGATTCTCACGAACTGCTCTCAGAACCTCTCTCTCCGGGTTCTCTCGGCGGTCCTCCGCCAGACCCACTTCCGGCCGGGATCGGCGGAGCCGACAGGGGCGGGTAGGCCACCAGTTCCACAGTGGTGGTGGGCGGGAAAGGGCATTGCCTATCTGGCAGGCGCTCGGAGGCTTGGCGCGTGACA